ATTTGACTAGTTATATTGAAGAATTTTTTATCTTTAAAATCTGAACCATCTAAACTCTGATGTTTTAGCAAAGAGGTATAGTTCCTTTTTGCATCACCAACATCATAGATAAATTAAAATTTTCTTCCAAGAACAGCTGAATTTTTTTGCCTTTCAATTTAAAATCTGACAACTAAATTGTTTTATGTCATTTGCATAATGCCCAAGAATAAAGGTAATATTCTCATGACGATCTGAACCCTGATGCATATAAAGTAAATTAACATCACACACAGATCCTGATGATTTATAATTGACAAATTCAAAATGAAATATCATATACTTCCTAACCTTTATCTCCAGTAAAAAGAAGAACAATAAACTCTCTGGAAATAACTCACAATGATAACATTGTGAAAATAGACATGGTAGAAATGTAAGAACTCTAGGTAAGTTTTATCATTCAATTATTGCTTATGTGATTTTTTTCATAATAACTTTTGAAAATGTAGTGCCTCCCTATTTTGCACATTATACAAGGAACAGTGTTAAGCTGTATAAATTTTTGTTAAATGAATGTAAGACTTAATTGTTGGTTTATATTAAATATTAATATTAAAGGCATGAGAACAAGTGAAATGTGAACTGCTAAAAGTGTTGAATATTCTCACATAGCAGAAGCCTTGAGCTCTGAGTGTAGAATGGGAATATGAGAATTATGATATATATAGAGAGAACTACGAATGTCAATCAAGATCAAGGTCTTCATGTTTATATTTCTGCAAAAAATTGCTTTTACAACAGCATAATGTAAAGTTTTAAATGTAGACTTTAATTAATTTGCAAATTAAGTGTAAGAGTTGTGAAAAAAAAAAAAAAGAAAATAACAGAGGGTCTTATGAAAGGACTCTTCTTCTTACATTTAATGATATGGAGATTGAGCCACAAGTTTACCATGGAAATTTACAGGTAATTATTTCAAAATAGTCTTAAGAAACCACTATAAGCATTGTTATGTTATTAATGATGTAGTGTATAGGAATAGATTTTTATATGTATTTTTTAATAAGTTGCAACCAATACTTTTTGAGAAAAAAATTTTCATGGTGCTGAAATAAGTGAGTTCTTTTAATTATATAAACTTATTTGCTTTTGAGTTTAATGCTTGCTTTCTAAAGAAAAATATCACTCAAAAAATGCATGAGTTAATACTTAATGTATCAATTTTTGTTAAAAAACAAGAATTGAATGAAGAGGAAGAGTGTTGGCATAACTGCGTAAATAAAGAGTTGCATCTAGTTAGATATTATAGTAAAAACTGGGTCTCATTTTAAAATGCTTATCAGCTGATAACTTCAAAATGCTAAAGTAAAATCTGTGTTTTGTGTTTTTTAAAAAAAGAGAAAATTTGTTTTATAAAAAAGACCTTTGTCTTGTTAGTGGTCTGAGTTTCTAAATACAAATATAATAAAAGACATATACATAAATTTATGAGTTTCAAACTTTATCATACGTTCGTGTAAGATGGCTTTTGAATAATTTGATTCTAATCTACTATAATTCAGTCTTATAATTATAATAATTATTGCAGTTTGTTTCTGTTAAATCACAAAGTAAACAAAAGAATTGCAGTTAGTTACTGTCAAATCTTGAAGTAAACAGATGTTTTAATTTAGGTGAAGGAATGGAATAGAAAATTAATAATTGTATATAAAAGAATTTTTTTGTTTAATAGGATAACTAATTATCAAAAAAAATTTCAGTTATGTGTTTATATAATAAGAAAGTTTTATTTTATTTGAATAATATTGATCCAAGTTAAATAATCTTATTTAAAATAATATAATTATCGAAAACTAGGAAAAGTAAAAAATTTAGCATTAATTTTTGTCATAGCATAGTTTTATTGAACTTGGTTTAAAGTGTTTTTTTTCATGATTATCCATCCTTTCATCATCTTATTGTAATAAATATACACACAAAACATATATATGTGGAAATTAAATCTCAGAACTGAAATTTCTAAAATTTTTAGAACTTTATCTATGAACAGAAATTCGAGGAAGGTTTAAATTATTTTGTTTAACTTCGAAAGTTGACAAAATTTATGAACATTTTATATGTTTTTATAGAACTACATCTCAAATACTTAAAAAGTTACATAAGTTTTAGTGGTACCCACTATGTAAAACTTTTTTTCTTTTTTTAAATAAAAAAAGACATATGTCTACCTTGAAACACCTGTGCAGACCATGATTTAGTACTAAAAAAACTTTTATTTAATTTTTGAAAATCCAAAATGTTCCTCCAATGGGTAAAAGGGGTAATTTTTGTGGGGATTTTGTACCATTTTTAAAACAGTTTGTATGAAGTAATAAAATAAAATTTTAATACACTATTATATTGATTTTTATTTTCTATTCAGCCTCAGGGATTATTCTGGGAAATATATACAAAAGAGAGCCTGAACAGGAAATAAATATAACCAATTCAAAAGTCAAAACCATATGTTTTTTTCTCAAACTTGAAAAAAAATTAAAATTAAAAAAACAGCAATCTAAGTAAATTTATGATCTTTTCTATTCTTTCTTAAAATATTGTTTTTAACAAAAAAATGTATCATAATGAAACTAGACTTTATTCTAATTTGTATCAGTGGCTTTTTTGTAACCTATTTTTTATCTAGCTTCTGTTTTTCTTATAATTAATTGTAAAGAGAAAGATGTCTTGCCTTTTCTCCTTAAAATATGCTTTGCTTATTAGGTCTTAAACCAACTATACTGCTCTCTTAGAGCAGCCATTACCAACATTAAATCCCTAAACTGTTGCTTTAAATTCTAGATAAAAATTATTGAATTTTTAAAACTCCGGCGGAGTCTTCATCTATTGATTTTCTGCCTTTTCATGCCTAAGCATGTTAAAAACTAGCTACAACTTGTCTGTAATTAATGGAGTCAAAATAGGAGAACTCATCTTTACTTAAGTTGAAACTGTTTAAAATAGCCACTATCTGCTGCTCTAAAGAAAAATTGTCAGTTAAACATCTTTGTAAACAATACATTTTTTTGGCCAATACACCACATTCCTACATTCTTCATCTGCTAGTGCAAAAACTTCCAAGGTGGGATCCAGATACCAAGTATGTATGAGAATAGAGTTTGAAACAGCTCCAGAGTCAAGTAGATACCATTCTTCAAACCTTTTCATTTGTCAGTAAACTTTCATATCCTAATAAATATTACCAAACATTTTGAATCACTTTAATCAATAATGAGCTTAACTTATTGATAAAATATTAAAAGACCTGTGTTGGCAAAAAAGAAAAGAAATTTTTTAATAACAAAAACTTTTAATCCCCACAACAGCTTTTGATTAACACCTTAACTAGAATCTATTGGAGGAATGCCAAATAATTCCTTACCAAAACTGCAATTCTATCTTTTTAAAATTGCTTTCCCTCCGTTAATTCATTAACTATTTTTCCATTAATAGTCATTAGTGAATCTAATGATATTACAGTGATGCTAGTTTGCACTTATGCCAACTCGCACTTATGCTTTGAAATTCTTTTAGCGCACTTATGCCAATCACTTATCATAGATCATCCTAGTCATATTTTAAAAATCCGGAAAATTGTTTAAATAAAATATTTTGAATTTGTTTTCCTTAATTTCTTTTTTATCTCGCTTTTAGCTATGTTTTTTATAACTTTTTTTTACACTTTCCTTTATTTTTCTATGAGTGATGAGTGAAAAAGCTTAAAAAACCAATATATTACAAAAATATATATTGTATGTATTGAATGTATTGCATGTATTGAAAATGTTTTGGATATCCAAAAAAACTCAAAGTTGAAAAAAAATCCAGATTTCTGGAAATATCCGGAAAAAGATAATCCCTGACTTATGCCACTTATCCCAATAACCCTATAACTGACATTATAATTAAAACATTAAAGTTAAATCATGCTTTAAGTTAAAATTGCAATGAAAATTTTTAATAAGTTTGGAGTTCTTTGTGCTATATCTATCTATAGCATCTGAAATTACCTCAGAAATGCAAGATATACCTAAGCTGGTTATTTTTGTAATCATTTTAAAAAGTTTGAAGAGTATGAATTTTATACATAATTGTAGATAAAACTATTTGATGTATAATAACTAAGTATAATAACAAAATAACGTGTCACCAAATATTCGGTAGCTGAATATTTGGTGATTCGGCCAAATGTTCTGTATTTGGCAAAACTGCTATTTGTGACATCTCTAGAATTTATTATTCCAAAGATGAGTTGGTATCTAAAGTCAAGGAAGCTACTTATTAGCCTAACAGAGTTTTTGACATTATAAAATTATTTTTATTTGCTTTTCATATTTATTGAGATTAACTTTTTTGAACTACCGCAATTTACTAAATTACCGCAACATAGTTTAATTAAATAATTAACTCAAAAGTAAAAATGTTATTATGTAATAATATTACTTAGCTTCGGGTTTTTAAAATGTAAAAAACAATTCGTTTATTTTCTCAACATTAAACACAATCATGTTTGTCTAAAAATAAATGAATAAAAAAGTTTTGCAAAATAAGCAATTATTTTTTATTTTAAAAGTCAGCAAGTAATAAACTAAAAGCTTTAAATATTCCAAAAAACAAACAAACAACTGAACTATACTTTTTTTTTTTTTTACTAACATTTTTGTGTAAGATTTAATTTAGAAAAAAAAGGTGGAATAAAAACCGTATAGGTTTCAATTAAAATAACTCCAATGAAAAAGTAAAACTTGCTTATTGAACAATAAATAATAATAGACACATGAAATCAATAAGAATGAACCTTGGTTCATTATTTATTTAATTAAGCATTACATGATTAAATATGAGAAATATACTTTAAGAGTCAAGTTAAGTTGATTAAAAGTGGAGTTTTTTTAAAAAAATTTTTATTGTTGGTTGTGGCTGTATATCTAATACCTGAACAAATTGAACTTATAAAATATTGTCTAAATAAATTTTCAAATGCAAGATTATTTTGCCTAGAATAATTTTTTTTTACATTTCATTTATTTATGTCGTATTAAAACAATAGACAAGTTTTTTTGTCTGTATTCAAATATTTTGATTATTTCAATAAAAAAAATTAGTTTTATAAAAAGTCAAACATTTTTTTAATCTGAATTTATTATATTTATAAATAATGAGCATACTTTATGTATTTGTAAATTTAAACTTTTGTCACACTGTGGATTCTTTAAAACATTAACTACTTTACTAAAATACCATTAAAATAAACGTGAAATAAAATTCATTAAAATAATGCCTAAAAATATCTAATTTAAATATTGCCAAAAAAGTTTTTAGCATAATTTAAATAGTGTATTATAAAATATATTCTATTGCCCAGTACTTTATCACAAGGCCTGAAATGTATTCTAAAAACATTAAGATTAAAAGTGCAACTTTAATCTAAATACCTTTTACAAAAGAAAAGATAATCAAAAGAGATTCATATTTTACCTGCCTAAACCCTTAGTATATACTGAATTTTGATTCCATAAATGACAGATTTCATTGTTATGTTTCATGCACAGCTAAGTGTGCAAAAATACTTTTGTATATAAAACATAAAAATATACAATTTATAAAAACTTACTACAATTCGATCAATAGGGTCAGGCAAGTTTGCAGCTTTTTGCATTATAAAACCATAATCCATATACTCTGCAATTCGCTGCAGAAATGAGATAGGTTCATTAAAAATAACTAAAATGAAAAAAAAGTATTTTTTAAACCATATGAAATATATACTTTTTTTCTAAATTTAAAAACCATGTATAAAAAATATATATATAAAATAAAAAAAGCTCTATAAAACAGAGTACTAAAACACAGAGCTCTATAAAAAAAACACACAGAAGCAATGGACCTTATAAAAAAGAGGCGATGGACCTTATAAAAAAGGATGGACCATATGACAGAAGGATGGACCTTATAATGAAGGATGGACTTATAAGGACTTATAAGAAGGACGGACCTTATAATGACAGAAGGATAGACCTTATAAAAAAACATTTAACAACCAAAACATAGAAACAAGAATAAATGGGTTGTGTATATTTATATAACTCCTTTATATATTTATGTATTTTATTTGTCTAAAATGTCTAAAACTTCCTTAAGCACAACAAATGTAAATATTTTTATAAATTAAACAAATCTTTTAATTACTAAAAACATTTTATCAATAAAAAACAACATCTAAAAAAGTCATCTTCAGTTAAATTAAATATTTGAAATTGTTTGTTATAGTTGTTTATACATCTACCAAGGTGATTTAAACAAAACAAAACAAAAAAATAGAAAATGTAACCAACCATCTGTGAACTAATTTGTTCACATTTTATATTATTTCTTTTTTAAAATTTTTTAATCACCTTGATAGGTATAGAAATAAATTTAAAATATTTAATTTTAACTGAAGGTTAAAATTAGTGGTGTATAAAAACATGTATTGCTTTTTTATTAATAAAATTGTTTTAATGTTCAAAGATTATTCTAGTTATATAGTTAATTAATAAATATTTTAATTAAAAAAACAGATTATTTTTAATCACCTGGCATTGTCATTTTAGATAAATCTTTGCCAACAGCTTGCTTTAATACACTCCATATACTAAACTCATTTCTTGAATGCATAGTATGTGGTAACTGTCGCCTGTGACTTTAAAATAGAAAAATACTATAACATGAATAGTATGACACTTCCAACATTGGTGTTTAATTAATGCTTTGTTTTGTTTGTTATGTTTTAATTTGTTGCTAAGTTACTTTTTATTTATTACAATATATTTACTTTTTCTTACCTTGAATTTTTGATTACACTAAAAATGCTTATCATTTACATATATATATATATATATATATATATATATATATATATATATATATATATATATATATATATATATATATATATATATATATATATATATATATATATATATATATACATATATTGAAATAGCCTGCTGCTGGGGGCTTCAGTACATACATGGACTGACAAATAGCCTGACTCACAGTGGAGTGCTGCTACATCGACTGAGGGTTTGGAATGAGGAAGCAATCGTTTCATTCATCATTCTTCGTTTTTTCTTCTTTATTTTCGAAAAAAAAAAAAAAGCTTAAGGTAAGCAGAAAAAGTTAGCAAATGCTTATCAAAACACACTTTAGTAAGTATATACATATATATATATATATATATATATATATATATATATATATATATAATATATATATATATATATATATATATATATATATATATATATATATATATATATATATATATATATATATATATATATATATATATATATATATATATACACATATATTTAAACAATTTAAAATGTATTCTACAAAAAGAGTGCTCAATGTTCTTAAAAGAACAGAGCAATTACAAATTAGTAGAAAATCACTTAGCAAAATTTTTTCTCATTTAACACTGTGTTTTATCAATAAGGACTTATCAGAAAAATATATATATATATATATATATATATATATATATATATATATATATATATATATATATATATATATATATATATATATATACATATATATATATATATTTTAATTTTTCTTTACTAATTTATTATTATTCTGCTCTTTAAGAACATTGATTTCATCTATTTTTAGAATATAACTTAACTTGCAATATATACACTTAACTTAACTTACATATATATAAAAGTTGTGCACTTTAATTTCTCAAAAAAAACAAAAAAAAAAAAAAAAAGATTAATGAAAAAACAAAAAAAACAATTGTTGGCCAAAACCTTAGTCAATGTAGCAGCACTCCTCACATGTTCTCCTTTTTTAGTCATTCAACATTTATCAACTGGCTAAATAGAGAGGACTTTTTACCATATTTTTAATAAAGTAATAACTTTACAAAAAAATTTGAACAACTATGGTGACCTTCATCAGAGAGGATACGACAAAAAACACTGTTAACATTTCGTTTTTTGTATTTTTATTTGTAAATTAAAAATCTAAGTGCTTAGTACTTTCGATGAAATGTTAAGTAAATGTTGAGTTTAATTTAATGTTATTTAATTTAAGTTAAGAAATATCAGTTAAACTTTTGATTTTTAAAAATCTAAACATTTAAAAGAAAAAATAGGAAAAAAAATGTGGCTTATTAATAGGCAACAATCACATAAGATAATAACATATTTATTCACATTAATTTTTTTAAACTACAAAAAATATTTTCTCCTTTATGATGTCAAAATAAAATAAAATGTGCATTTGCTGAATGTTATAAAGAACCACATATTGAATTCTTAGTTTAAAAAAATGATTTTAGTTGGAGTTTAATTCTGAATAAATTAAAAAGATTGAATGTAATGCTACATGTAAATCATTAGCAAACTATAAATTTAATCCTTTTTTGTACTATTATGGAATTCAGAACACACACACACCTTTGTTTAGACTTTGATATACCAATCAAAGATAGTAAAATATGGACTCTTAAGTTCAATCACATATTTTATTGTATACACTGTACAACCAAAAAAAAAAAAAAAAAAAAAAAAAAAAACACCCTTGCAAAAACTATCTATATACTATCATTTTAAAAAAAACCATGAAAAAAATATTTTTTAAAAACTATGAATTTTTTTTTTTTTAATATGAAAAAGCCTTATAAGAATTTTATCATGAAAAAATAAGAACTATTATAATTATTTTTATTACTCTTGTTTTTATTATTTTAATTTTTAAATTTCTTTTTTTACTTTTATTTTTATATGCACCTATTCAAGCCTTTCCAGGAAGTGCGTACGGTCGCACGCCTTTGTTTGTCCACATTTAAAGTAATTTTTAGCACACTGACCTGGGCAGTTGGTATCTTTTAATTTTTAAAGCATTTTAATAATTTGCAGCAAAAAGTTAAACTCATTACTGAAAAAAAAAAACCAATACTAAAAAAAGAAAACAAAACTGTAATGAAATAACAAATTTTAGTTAAATAGACTAGAAAAATATAACAATTAAAAAAAAGAAATATAAAAAAAAATTTGTTAAATTTTTATACAACTTTTGTATTCTTCTTTTTATGGTGGTTGTTATTTTTAGGGTGATTGTTATTTTTAGGGTGGTTGTTATTTTTAGGGCAGTTGTTATTTTTAGCAACTATATTTGATACAAGTCGAAAAAAAAAACATATTTTATAATAACTGAACAACAATTGAAAGTTTTGATATGCAATTTATTCACAACTTTTATCTGTCCATATAATTAAGAAGCCAATTTACTATGTGCATTAAAACTGTGAGAAACGTTGTTAACTTTTTTTCTTATGTTTATTTGTTTTCATGTCTTTTCGCTTTAAAAAATGTTTTTGCTCTATTTGAAGTTTTGTATAATAGGAAAGTAAGAAAATAAATTGCTATTTATTTGTAAAATATATTATTTGGTTAATAAATTTTGTAATGACACAAGAAATTAATTAAAAGAATAGCATTTTTTTGTATTTTTTGTTATAAACGTATTTACGAGATTTGATGAAATTGTTTTTTTTATAGTGTCCAATATTTAATGTTAATTCGAATTACTAGAGATAATGAGCAATTGCTCTGTTTGAAAAAATGCATTTAAAAACTTTCAAAAGTTGTTAATAGGCTCCTAAAAATTTTGTTAGAAAATTTCAGTAAATTAAAAATGTACTAGGCCACAAGCTTTTGGAGCATTGTCAATAACAATAGTTCATCAGGAAATAAACTATCCAGTTTAAATGTACAATTTGGAGAATCCAACGAAAGTGCAGACTAATTCAATGGGGGTAGTGAAAACAACCAAATATTTTATATTTGAGCATTAGTAATAATTTTATTTTTTTATAAAAAAAAACTTGTTGAAAAATAAAAAAAGAATTTAGCAAATAAATAGAAACTAGTTTTTTTGTTTTTTTGTGCAGTGATAAAAATGATAAAATTTAGTAAAAAACATTTAAAAAACAAATTTTAAAATTTTCCATAGGGTAATTCCATGTCAAATGAGCCCAAAATTTTTTAAAATGTCACCTTATATCCCAGATTTTCTGATCTTTATACAGTTGAGAGTACTTAGTAAAATAAGAATTTCTTGAAATTTTAGCTTCTAGCTTCAAAAAGATCCTGAAATAAGACCAATTTACTTTTAGCAGATTTGACCAGGGGCCTCTTCCCTCAGAATTGCAATGTTTATTTAGAGGTTTCAAGTCACATAAGTTAAAAAATATTTATTTTGTTTTACTTAAAAATGAGCAGGAATATAAAAAATTATTATTATGTACCTGTATGTATCAGTTTAAATAAATTCAGGCAATTTTTTATATGCCTGTTTTTAATTCCCAAGAAACTCATGTGGCCTTGATGATATCAAAAAATATATATATTACATATCATTCTATATTCATTGATCTTTCAGAAAACATAAGCATTTTGATCTGCAAGTATATGGATTTCCATACATAGGGAACAGGGCACAGAACATACTTTTTTTGTAGTGGAATATTGCAATTGATTTTTCACTACCTTCTAGACTAGCTGGAGCTTTGAAACTTTTGGAATTTGGGTTTCAAAAAAACCGTTTTTTTTTTTGAAAAAAAAAAAAAAAAACCATAGGTTTTTTTAAAAAAACAAAAAAACCATGGTTTATTTGGTTTAAATTAGGTTTTTACTAAAAAATGTGGTATTTAGTTATCCTTTTAAATTAAAAAAAGCATAACGTATTTTATTTGAGTAAACTATATTCTTTATCAATATTATTGTTATATTTCATCAAAATTATTCAATATATCATTGTTTAATGTTCTATATATAAATACAAGCTTTGCTGCTTTTTCTACCCCCAATCGGTTTCTTAACTTAGAATGAACAAGACCAAAAGTTGAAAAAATTCTTTTGATTCCAGTACTAGAAGCTGGTGCATTTAATAAACCTTAAATTTCCATTATGTTATAGTAGATTTGGCTTTTCTTGAACTCTTTATCTTGGCAGCTTCATTTTCATTTTCAGAAAGATTAGATCCAAAATATATAGGATCTAGTGTGTTTGCCAGAAAATGAGCATCACTGACAGTCTGTGATTTTCAATGTTAAAATCATTTGCTAAAAGATTCAGCATATGAGCAGCGCACCCATAAGTCATAATAATATCTCTTTCAGATGACAATACTTGTCTCATTAATTTCACATTAGTTGCATTGTCAGTCACAAAGCTTTTTACTGTGCATCCAAACAAAATCTATTGCTTCTCTTGCTAATTGTGTAAGATAATCACCAGAATGTGAATGACCAGAAGTGCTGATTGTTTCTACTAAAATGTTAATTCTATTTGTAATTACAGAGATACAAACTATAGGTTCATTATGTACATTACTCCAGCCATCTAAAGACATGGCTACAATTTTCCCATTCAATACATTACATTTTTCAATTTCTTCTGTGTAAACCCTATCTAATACTTCTCCTCCAATTTTAGTTCTATTATTCTAGAGTGTATTCTGGATGAAGCATATTGATAAATTTAAAAAAAAAAAAAATCATGGATTTAAAAAAATATATCTAATATTGAAGATTAGTTATATTTGTGAACATAACCCTGTCTTTGTTTTCTGTTATAAGTTAAAATCTTTTTTAAAAAACTTTAGTTTGGTTTAAACTAATGGTTTAAACCATTTGGTTAAAACTATGCAACCCTGGTGTTGGGTTTTAACTACCAACACAATTTTTATCACTGATGCACCTGTAACAATAACTGACAAATTATTTTTTTGTATTTTATTTTGTAAATATTCAAATAAAACAGAACAAAAAAATTTTAAAGACAGTATTTTCAAAGTTATCTTTACTTTTATTTCTTTAATTCAAAAAAAAAAAATTTAAGTGGAGCATGGCCCCTGGTGTTAAAAAAGTAAAATGGTCAGGATCTTCTTAGAGCCAGAAGCTAAAATTTTTATGGAATTCTTATTTTATTAAGCACTCTCAATTATGTAAAAATCAGCAAAATTTGAGATGAATGGTGACATGGTCTTGGTCAATTGACATGAAATTTTACATATTTCTAGCGCAAATAATAAAATATATCCTTATTACTGACTAAACAAAAGTTGTGAAAAAATTGTATATCAAAAAATGTTTTTATTTTCGTTATATTCTTATCTGCTTTCGTCCTCAAATTGTATCAATTTTGTTAGTGAAAAATAAAAAATGCCCTTAAAAAAAAAAGAAAACAAAAACAGTAAAATATTTACATATATTTTTTTTTTTTACAAAATTTTTCTTTTTTTTAATTTTTTTTAGTTTATTTTATTTAGATTTTCTATTTTATATAATATTCTTTTTCTTTCTACGATTATTGCTGTTTTATTCTTTGTTGTTTCTTATAGCTTTATTTTGCCGCAAATTCTTAAAACGCTTACTATATAAAAACATGGTCAAGTTGTCTAATTACTTTGTCTAATTGTCAACTTGTCTAATTACTAAAAAATTACTTTAAACATAGACAAACAAGGCGTGCAACTTGAGCACGCACTTCAAGGGAAGGCTTGCATATATCATCTAACTTTTTAAGAACCAATGCAAGATACCTACATGAACTAAGGATTTCGGTTTAGACAAAAATTTATGTTTGTGTGTTTAGTTTTAAATTATAAAAATTTATGTTGAAAAAAAAAAGAAAGCTTACTTAGATATTGTATTAGAATGAGTCATTGAATCAGACATCTGAAGCTCACCATTAACTGGTCTACATTCTTCTTTTATATTTTCGCATACTTCTCTTTCATCTAGCTGTTGGATACCACTATTCGAATCTCCATTACTTGAATCTTCTTTAAAAAACGGTCCACCATATTCACAATCTGACATGGCTTCTGTTGCATCATAGAAAACATCCATAGCATCATCGTGACTATTCTTTAAAAATAAAAACAAAAACATTTTATTATATCTATTTAAATACAAATGAAACAAATTACACAACTGTATAAAAAAAAGAATAAAAAGTAAGTTAATTTAAACAAAATATACAAATAGCAACAAAAATGTTTTATCATATGTATGTATTTAAATATAATTGTAATAAATTATACAACTATATTAAAAAATAATAATTATAAAGATAATAAATTAATTTAAACAAAAATCAAAATATACAAAATAATTTTTTTTTTCAAAACAAAAATAAAATTGAAAAATCAACCATTTTGTGACGAACAGACTGCTCAAGAACAAAATGTTCTGTTGCCAATACATGAAGTGCATCTTCCAATACTCTACGCTTTTCTGCTTCTTCTTGGAGTTGAACACGACGAACCTGAAAGCACAAAAAAAATTACAAATACAAAGTATGAAACTAAATTGTAAAAATCAAATAAAAACAATAAAATAAAGCAGTTAAAAATAAAATATTAAACTTTTTTTGTGTAAATCAGATATTAATCAGTTAGAGCACAATACACTTAAATAATATATAAAATACAAAAAATGTCCATTAGAGAGGTAAATCACAACATTAGGAGGCAAACTACAAGACTTGGAAAGTAAATCATAACATTAGTAAAGTAAATCGCAAATTAGCTCCAACATAATCTGTAAACTATTGTACACATTACCGCAGCTAGTAAGTTGGAGTACCCCCCACCAACCCCTTTACCCCCCCCCCCCAAAAAAAAAAAAAAACTAGTCATTAAGGCCCAAATTCTTAATAAAATAATTTCTCTAGGTATTACTTTAAAAAAAAGTCCTCGTGTTCACAAATGGGTCACCTTAACTTGCTGGCCCCCCTAAATGGAATGTGTGGGGTAGCCACAGCTCTGATAATACACGATAAAAAATTGCCTCACAGAAAGCATCATAAATTCTTAAAAACATATATAAAATAATATATATTTTTTTTAATTAAAATTTATTAAATTTTCAATTTATAAATTTGAAATAAAATGATAATTTGTTCAATGTCTATAATGCCTATAATTATAATTAAATAATAATAACAAAATAAATTGACTATAACAAAAAATGTGAAAACTTTGTAAAAAAGTAATTTTAGAAAAGGTTTCTAATAATTAAGTGTACACTTAATTGATGCAAGTGTACACTTAATTGATGCAAGTGTACACTTAATTGATGCAAGTTGGTACACATTAAGTGTACACTTGATTAATGCAAGTGTACACTTAAAAAGGTCTCTAGTATTAGATTAAATAATAAAGTGTTCACTTGATTATTATTGCATATAACAAAATAATAAACAATATTTCAATTTTATACTTTTAAACAAGTATATGAAATGTATATAGCTCAAAATGCAAAACAATATCCAATTTTGTTAAAAGAAAGATCCTAGTATTATTTCATTAGGTCAAAATAACAACAATACCTCTTCTTGTTGCATAAGAATAGTTAGGCAATGCTTCAGGGTAGATGATACTTCCTGTGAAGAAGAAACTATCTCACTAAGTTTCATCCTTAATGTAGTTGCCGTACCTAAAAAAGATCAAACAACAATTACAACACTTTCATTCAAAAAATATTATCTGCCAAATAGAAATGACAATACTTTTATCTAAGAAAAACTTTTATCAAATAAAAATGACAATCTAAAAAGAAATTTCATTAAACAGCAACAATAATAATTTAATTATGAAAAATTTCAAACAAAAATGTCAATACTTTTATCTAAGATAGCTAGCATGTAATAACAATGAAAACATTTTCTTTTTAAAAAATTACATCTAATAACAATGAAAACACTTTCTTTTTAAAAAATTCACAATATATCCACCTAAGTAAAATTACATCTTAACAACAATGATAACACTGTAATTTAAAGGAAACTGCAATGAAATAAAAAAAAAGTTTTGTCAAATAAATATAATCATCTTGTTTTGTTTTTTTGTTGTTGTTTTTTTTTTTAAATGATTTACTTAATAGTTCAAATGTTTTACTTAATAGCTAACAATAGA